AGGTTTATGTTGACAGATGGGATAGCGGAGCCACGTGTCAGGAGATGACAGGGAGTGGATATGGGGCTCAGAAGGTATATAAGCATGTCTGCGCCCCCCATACGCGATACACGAACACATCTGTAAGGATTTCTTACACTCAAACACTCTCTCCCTTCTCTCTATTCCCTCTAAGGTGTGTGCTAACTTGACCGTCGGAGGGTTTTTCCGGCCACACACCGCCGGGTAGCTCACCGTTATTTGCTCACAGGTGATCGGATATCGACGGAGCTTGGAAGAAAGGAATACGGGCACGCCGGAATATTTGCTCCCCGTACAGCATACAATGCGAAATACTAGGAAACTTACAATGAGATCCTCGACTGCCCTACCAATCTGGCGATCACTCAATACAAACGGGGTCTCCCAGTCGGACATAGGCTGCCAGATTCACTCACGATGCATCAACCCACAACCATGGAGTCATTGATGCAATGAGCACATTCGTATGGAGGATGATGCCGCCTCCGTGACCGAGAAGGCTAATCCGGTCGCGGCGGACAGAAGGGTGGCGGGGAAAGTTCACTCGGTTGGGCAGAATGATAACCGCCCAAACAACCGGTCAAAAGATCAGCGCCATGGTTCAAATCGTGATGACAGAAACAAGGGCCGCCGAAACGAACGGGCTGACACTCCCCGTGATGCAGCGGAGGATGCCAAAAGAAAATTGAAGGCACGGACTGGAATCACCACGATCTTTAAAATCCCCATCTACCGCATTTTGAGCGAGATTTGAGGTGAACCCTTCATCTATTGCCGGCCAAGTTGGGGAGTGTGCAGAGGGGCTTCAATTCAAAATATTGCTGCACCTTCCATGAAGAATGGGGCCACCGAACGGAGAACTGCTTGCCGCTTAAACAACACTTGGAGGAGTTGGTGGCGGCTGGACATCTTGACCAAACATAGATGAGGGAATGAAGGCCGCACCATCAGGGCAAGCCAAGCCAAACGGCCTAGCCGCCCTGGATGCGGCCCCGCAAGGTGTAATCAACGTTGTCTGTGGTATCATTGAACCAGCCAGGGTCTGCGAGCTGAGAGAGATGATTAAAAAAGTCGAGCACACGAGGGAAGTGCTCTCCGTTCGGCCCGCTGTAAAGAAAGGGAAGACCGAGGAGAAGGACATTCTTACCTTTTCAAGCAAGGACTTGGAGCGGATCCAGATGCCCCACAATGACGCCCTAGTGGTAACTCTTCGCGTCAAAGACTTTGACATCAAGAGGATCTTGATCGACCAGGGAAGTTCGGTCAAAATTATGTACTATGACGCGTTCAAACAAATGAAGTTGGAGGACAAGGACTTGGCCCCTGCGACGTCCCCTTTGGTTGGCTTCAACTCTCAGCCTGAGTGGCCGGTAGGGAAGATCATATTGCCCGTCAAAGCGGGTTCAGTAACAAAGCAAGTAGAGTTCTGGGTGCTCAAAGTCCCGTCCACCTACAACTTAATTTTAGGCAGGGGCTGGTTGCACGCCATGCAAGCAGTAGCGTCGACTTACCATCAGGTCTTGCGTTTCCCGGCGCCAAACGGACAAATAGAGGAAGTTTGGGGAGACCAGGTGATGGCGAAACAATGTTTCGTTGAGGTAAATAGCAGCCAAGTAGCTAAAGGATTTGTCCAAATTATTAAGGGACCTGAGGGAAAGGAGGTCCTTGACGACGTATGAAGAAAGGCCGAGGAAAAATCGATCGAGGATTTGGTGGAAGTGCGCGTCGACGAGAATGACCCAACCAAGTTCTTCCTCTTAGGATCGTCTTTGACTAGCACCGAGCGGTTAGATTATGTCAACTTCTTGGTCTCCAACATGGAGGCTTTTGCGTGGACGCCTTATGATATGCCTGGCGTTGACCTAACTTCATTTTCCATCAGTTGAACGTTTTCCCAAACGCGCGGCCAGTCATTCAGAGGACTCGTCGCTCGGCTCTGCACCATGACGAGGTAGTGGCAGAGGAGGTCAAAAATCTGTTAGAAGTAGGAGCGATAGAAGAAGTGCAATACCCTCGTTAGATATCCAAGACGGTGGTGGTCCCGAAAAAGAATGGCAAGTGGCGAGTCTGCGTTGACTATAAGACAGTTAACCGTGCGTGCCCAAAGGATAGCTTCCCCCTCCCTCGAATTGACCAGCTGGTGGACTTGACCGCTGGCCATCAGAGGTTTAGCTTCCTAGATACATATCGCGGCTACCACTAGATAGCCATGTATAAACCGGACCAAGAGATCACGTCGTTCACTACTTCTAGAGGCCTGTATTGTTATAAAGTCATGCCGTTCGGACTAAAGAACGCCGGGGCGGCTTTTCAGAGGATGGTGACAAAAATGTTCGCTCCTCTTTTTGGTCGAACAATGGAGGCCTACATCGACGATATGGTGGTAAAGAGTAAGGAGAAGTCTCAACACCTCGCCGACCTAGCAGAAATGTTTGCCATACTTAAGCGCCACAAACTTCGTTTGAATGCCTCCAAGTGCACTTTCGGAGTCGGCACCGGGAAGTTTCTGGGGTTTTTGGTCACAAACCGAGGGATTGAAGCTGACCCATCACAGATCAAGGCTATACAAGAGCTGGAGCGCCCAAACTCCACGAAGGACGTGCAACATCTTGCCGGGATGGCAGCCGTGCTGAACAGATTCATCAGCTAGTCTTCAGATCGTTGCAGGCCCTTCTTTAAAACTTTGAAGGCCAAGTTCTTTTGGGATGACGAATGTGACCGTGCACTGGCAGACTTAAAAATATACCTTTCCTCAGCCCCTATTTTAGTCACACCTCGGCCAGACGAAGAATTGTATCTCTATTTGGCTGTCTCTCAACATGTTGTGAGCGCCGTCCTAGTCCGCGCTGAAGGCATCCAGCACTTGCCAATCTTCTATGTGAGCAAGACTTTGCTCCCGGCTGAGACGAGGTATCTTCCGCTGGAAAAACTAGCGCTGGCCCTGATGATGGCATCAAGAAAGCTGGCGCACTATTTTCATACCCATACAATAGTTGTGCTAACCGAGTTCCCGTTTAAGGTACTTTTTGAAAAGGCAAACTTCACCGGAAGAATTTTGAAATGGGCCGTGGAATTGGGGCAGTACGATATCAAATTCCACCCGCGCACCGCAATCAAGGCTCAAGCTCTTGCAGACTTTGTGGCGGAATTCGCCCCTGGAACGCATCTAGTGTGCCCGGTTGATTTGGCTGGTGCGGATTTAGCACAGCCCATGGTTCTGGCGATAGAAACGAGTGTTGGCTCAAAAGCGGGAGAAGGCCGAAGAGCGACCGCACTAGAAGAGCCGGGTGACTTCTTGGAAGACGTGCTCAATCAAGGCAAGAAAAAAGACCAGAATGGGCCGACCAGAGACTTGGAACTGAGAACCTCCCAAAACCCGTCTGATTGCTGGAAGCTGTTCATTGGCGAGATGTGGAAGCTCTTTGTCGATGGAGCATCCAACAGGCATGGGGCCGGGCTGGGCATCGTGCTGACCTCACCAGACGGGCTGATCATCGAGCAGGCAATTACACTCGGCTTCCCAGCATCCAACAAAGAGGCTGAGTATGAAGCCCTCCTTGCCGGACTAAGAAGCGCGCTGAGAAAGAAAGCCATAGCCCTCATGGTATTCAGTGATTCCAAGTTGGTAGTCAATCAGGTCTCAGGGAAGTATGAGGCAAAGGACGAAAGAATGGCCAAGTATCAGGCGTTGGCACGTACAGAGATCAAGAAGTTCGCTGTAATAAGGATGGAACAAATCGACCGCGAGGAAAACAGCGCGGCTGATGAATTGGCCGGACTTGCTTCTGCTCAGACAGCTTTTCCTAACCCCTTGATGATAGAATTTTTACCTCGGCCAAGCATTGAGGAACCGGAAATGACCGAGGTGCTCTGCGCCGACTTGGGTCCTTCTTGGATGGACCCCATCATCGTCTTCCTGAAAGATAGAGTTCTACCAGAAGAGAAGAAGACGGCCAACAAGATCCGGGCCAAGTCAGAGCGGTTTTGGCTCTCCCCGTCCGGAGCCTTGTATAAGAAGTCTTTTACCGGGCCGTATCTGAAGTGCGTTCACCCTGCTAAGGTGGAAGCCTTCCTTTATGAGATCCATGAAGGGATCTGCGACAGCCATACTGGGGGTAGGTCACTGGGTTACAGAGCAATTTCCCAAGGTTATTGGTGGCCGTGCATGCAGGCAGACGCGCAGAAATACGTTCGCCGATGTGAAAAGTGCCAAAAATTTGCTCACCAGATCCACCAGCCAGTGAGAAAATTGCTCCCCCTTACAAGTCCCTGGCCGTTCGCACTCTGGGGATTAGATATAGTGGGGCCACTCCCAGTGGCCCCGGGCAATCGCAAGTTCTTCATCGCCGCCACTGACTACTTCACAAAGTGGGTTGAGGCCGAGCCATTGGCGACCATAAAGGAAAAGGATGTGAAAAAGTTTGTATGGCAAAATGTCATCACCCATTTTGGTATACCCAATGCCTTCATCTCAGATAACGGCACTCAATTCGATGGAAAACTCTTTCACGGATTTTGCGAAGAGTTGAAGATCGAGTTTTACAATTCAACGTCGGCCTATCCTCAGTCAAATGGTCAAGCAGAAGTCTCAAACAAGACCATCCTGGACGGGCTGAAAAAGTGGCTTGAGAAGGCCAAGGGCAAGTGGGCTGAAGAACTCCCTAATGTGCTCTGGGCATACCGCACTACGCCAAGGCGGTCGACCGGGGAAACACCGTTTGCTTTGGCCTATGGCATGGAGGCCGTCATCCCGTTGGAAATTGGCATGCCAACCATCCGCTCTGAAAGTTTCCAGCCAGATCTGAATAATGAAGCGGTGGCATTGGAGTTGGACCTTGTTGAAGAAAGGAGGGAGCGAGCATTGATCCACATAGCGGCTTATCAACAAGAACTCTCCAAAAAGTACAACAAGGCTGTGCACCCCAGGCTATTCAAGATTGGGGAGTGGGTATTAAGAAAGGTGCTTGGCAACACGGTGGTCCCTGGCGAAGGAAAGCTCGGTGCAAATTGGGAAGGACCATACAAGGTGATTGGTCTTGCCGGCAAAGGGGCATACCATTTGGAAGATTCGGATGGCAAGGTTGTCCCCCGACCTTGGAACGCAGCCAATCTTAAGGTCTTTTACTTTTAAGATGTAATCGCTTTTGTTGTTTAGATTTATGTAACTTTGAGCCTCTTGGCATTTTAATGTAAGAGATAGCACGGTATTTTGTAATGAAAAATAGCCCTCTCGTTGTCTGATATTACATCTCTGTACAATGACACCGCAAGGATACAAGACAATTATGGGTGCTAGGGGCAATGAGACCGACCTGAATGGGACCGGACTAATCTCCTCTCGCCAGAATGGAAACAGACCACACAAACAGTTGGTGCATTGTCCAAAGAAATGATTGGCGAATGAACCAATTCACATAAGGGCTGAGCTGGGTTTTGCTCGGCCAACTGGAATGTTGGCGACATGACCAACTCAAATGAAACATTGGTGTTTTGCCCAATGTAGCGGGCGGGCTGACTTTGCTCGGCCCAATTTGGCATGTTGGTGTTTTGTCCAACTAATGAGAAGCCGAGCTGACATTGTTTGGCAGAAGTGAAATGTTGGCGATCTACTCAACTGAAAGGGCGAGCTGGTTTTTGCTCGGTCACATTGAAGTACTGGAATTTTATGAAGTTTGCAAACCCGTCAAGGCCGAGCTGATTTTGCTCGGCTCCATACATGAGCCCTCAATTTAGAGCCGTGCAGATTTTGCTCGGTGAATTAAAAGGTGCATTTGAAATTTCAAAGGAGCCGAGCTGCTAGTCGAAGTTTGAACACGTTTAGGGAAATTTTGCACGTCGAAGCCAAAAAGCAATAGAAGTTAAACGGGCAAAAAGTTCAAATTTCATTGATCAAGGAAATTGCATTACAAGTGAGGGGCCTAGCCCGGTTACATTTAACAAAGAAAGACAAGAGACGAAAATAAAGCAGGAAATAGGAGGGGGCATTTCAGTCCAATTCCAAATCAATTGTCTGCTCGGTGTCCTCCAGAGTCTGCTCGGCCACCTCCGCACTGTGCTCGGGCAGGCCTTCTTCCAACTCATCATCCGCATCCTCCACCGCGACAACCTCCCGATCGGCTACTTGATCTTCAGCATCCTGAGATGCTTCGGGAGAAGTTTGCCCGGTTTGTTGCGCGGCGGCGGCTTCTTCTGCGGTTTCCTTTTTGGCCTCCTCTATGAGCCTCTTCTGCGCGGTGCTCGCATAGGCCTGCATATAGTGCGGTATGAAGGCCGCAGGCGGATGTAGGAACATGTCAGCATCCTGACCAAGGCCAACTTTCTCCACGGCAGCTTTCCAACCGCACTGGAAAAAGATGTCCTTGGTCGCCTGCACCTGTCGTTCATACGTTCTTTCGCCTTGAGCATAGCCCTTGTCTTCGGCATCGCTAACCGCCTTATCTTTCTCCTCTTTATGGGCATCGCGCAGCTTCCTCAGCTCGGCGAGATACCGGGCTTTGGTCGACTTCACGGCCCGCTGTTTGTCCGCTTCAGCTCGGTCGACCTTTTGGCTCAGGTTATCTCGTTCGGCCTCAACTGCTTCCTGCGCGGCCTTAAGCTTCGCTATCTCGGCCTTTTGGGCCTTGTTATCAGCTATTGCATCCCGCAAGCTCTGCCGCACTGCGATCATTCGGTCGTGCGC